CCCCCCCCCCCCCCACCTCTTCTGGTACCCAGAATACCACCCCTGCTGCTACATCCGGGGTTTTGGAGCTATCCCACCCGGATAGACTTGATTGCGAGGGAGAAGAGCTTAGGGACCAGTCTGCACTCAGAAGACCCGTAACGCTGCCTCAGCCTGAGGCGTCCGGTTCCTCTCCACATGCCGCAACAACTCCCCAAGTAATGGAGGAAGAAGGGATGAAGCAGAAAGAGCCGGAGTCTTCCCCTACAGCAGAGAGGGAGGTTGAAGTGCAGACAGAAACGGAAATCCCCTACCCGAAGGAGAATGAGGTTGGAGAGCAGAGGGATGCTGAAGCTCCCCCAAAAATGAGGAGAGAGACTGAGACGCAACAGAATCAGGAGGAGCAGCGGGAGCCGGAGGAACGACATCCCGCCACTACACCTTCGGCCGTCAGTCTCCCCATCCGGCGCAAGTTCACGCCGCAAACTTATCCTGTTTTTACAAAGAGTTGGGCAGGCTTCTCCCGTGGTTTGAGGTCCTTACAAGCTTCCCATTGGACTATCCAGGCTAACTTGGAGAAGATGAGGGTATCAGTGCAGGAGCCTGCAGTTCCCCAGGCTCGCCCCGACTTGCTTGCCCTCAATGCTCTGCACCTCATGGAGCAGGTACTTCCTCTTTCTAAGAATCTCTTTATCTCTTTTTGGGTTAGTTCTTTTCCTTGACTTCCCTTTCCTTCTTTTAGGCCCAGCAATCACTCCTAACTTTGACTGAGGAGTACCTGGGTGAAGCATCAGGGAACTATCGAGCTGTAGTGCTCCTAAAGGAGAAGGAGTTAGCTGCCAGGGCTTTGCAACAGAAGGTTGACTCCCTGGAACAACAAGTCCAGGTCCTACAAGAAGAGAATGCCCGGCTCAAGGCAGATGGCTCAATGGAGCTAGCCGCTGAGAAATCCAAGGTCCAGTCCCTCCAAGAGCAGATCGCTATCTACCAAGAAAGAACCCGGGACCTAGAAGCACAGTTTGACAGGCTCCAGGCACAAATCTCCATCCTGGAATCAAGGGCCTCAGCTTCAGAAGACAAGGTGGGAAATCTGGAAGCTGGATTGGTTGAAAAGGAATCCCGGATCTCTGAGCTGGAGAATTCCCTTCAGGAGGCCAAGGACGAGGGTTCCCGCTCTAACGAATTTGCCCTGAAACAGATGGAAGCAAGACGGCTTATCCTCGAGAAGTTGAAGGAAGAGAGATAGACAGCAAGCGAGCTCCGGTCGAAAATAGATGAACGGGAGAAGGCAATCGCTGCTCATCAAGAGGAGGTGGCCACCCTGGTTGCCCGTGCAGAAGCCCTCTATGAAGAGGGGAAATTTGACATGCAGCAATGCATCTACGGGGCAGTCCAGAGTGGTCTCCTGGAAAACCGATCCTTGGACTACTTCATCTCTTACTATGGGTTACCTCTTCCTCTTCCTCCCCCAGACTCTCGTGCCAATCTGGGACCTTGATTTCTCAATCAGTTGTTGTAACTTCTATTCTGTAACATTTAACCTTATAACAATTTGGCAATGCGTAATGTATTTCTGCTCTTGTATACGCCTTTCGCTAGTCTAACTGTTCTCCTTTTGGAACTCTTATTCCTCTTTAGGACTTAGCAAAAATTCTTTATCCGCCTAGGCTTTGGGCTTAACTGTATTCACAAAGTTCTGTTCTTCTTGTTTACCATTGCGCTAAGGGACTGGCCCACCTTAATTACGCCGGGCCCAATTCACCCTAGCCCAATAATAAGATGACGCAACCCTAGTTCTCCTCGGGAATCCGCAACTGCCTCCCAATCGGATAAGTGCTTTGACTCTGCATCCCTTGCACTTCTCCACAATTACCTGCCTATTTAAGGGGCTAGGCTGAACCCCTCTATCATCACAATCAACTTCTCAACATGGCTAATAACGCCAACAGAGTTGTTTTCATTGATCTTACTATTTCCGATTCTTCTTCTGATTCTTCTTCGTTGGCATTCCCTTCACTTGGGGCCCCAACACCTGAGCTCTCTTCTGGGCCTTCTCTTGCCTCTGAACAATCGGTGACTTCTCCCTTACCCAGGGAGGAGAATCACCCTCAACTTCTCCAACAGGAACCTGGGGGTATTTGCCCGGGTTCCGGCATGCTTCCAAACGCAGCCAGGACGGAAGTTTCTTCCGGCTGTCCTGGCACATCCCGTCCACAGAAGAGACGCAATCCTCATTCAGGAGCTTCCCGGTTGATCTCTGGTACGAGGCCTTCCTCCCAGGGTTCTCCCTCCCCTCAACAGTCGTATGGACGTCAACCTGAGGAGTGGGGGGACTACGACATGGGGGAAACAGGCTCCCATTTATACGCAGGGAAAAGGATGGGACCTTCCGGGATCCGCCTCCTCCTCCCGTATAAGCGGAGATTAGTCTGGAGTCCTTCCCTCATGCCCTAGTGCCCTCTCTGCCCGCCTTCACGAGAATGACTGGATGGTATCCACGGGGATGGCGTTTCAATCCCAACCCGTTGGTACCATCTTGCTTCTTGTGAATGTCATGAAGTGTCTTCGGCGGAAACTCTCCATGCCTTCCTGCTCTGGGGTTCTCTTCTGGTTCAGGCAGAGGAACCAGAGTTAGCGAACGCACTCCTTCAAATTTCGGAAGTGCCGATCCCCATTGGCTCCAACTTTTTCCCGTAGTAGAATAGAAGTAGATCAGGGACAAAGTTCATTACTGTAACCCAAAAGATTGTAATCTTCTGTTTGAGTTATTTAATGAAAAAAAACCTTTATCTCATGTTATTTAATATAATTTTGTTGCACGTGCGGTCATCTGCATGGAGTAGAAGTCTAAGTCTATTTAACTCCTTACCTTCCATGGATGACGTCGCTTCCTAAGCACAGATGGGCCCAATTAACTAGCCCATGCACTTAAGTGGCGAGAAACCCCTAGTCAAACATTGGGAATCTTCAACCGCCTCCTTCGCCAATCGCTTAGTCTTTTACGTCTTCCATCCGCATTCATCACTTCTCAACTATCCCTTCCCCTTTAACTATAAAAGGGAAAGGATAATTAGCTGCTAGTCCATCCCTTTCTGACTTCTTCGCCATGGCAAGTAAATCTGAGAGTAAAGTTGTCATCGACCTAACCCTCTCTGGGACATCTTCTTCTTCAGATGATGATTCCACCGTCTCTCCAGCCCAATCCAACGACATTGCTGGGTTGAGTCCTGGCGAGTTCTCGAGACTCTATCCGGTGCCTCGCCTTCCTCCACCATCTCCTCCTAGTCCACCCAGGCTTCCATCCGGGAGGATAGACTGGGACTCTTTGACCCTCCAAGACTTCGCCTTGTACTAGAGGATGCGAAGGGCTAAACTTGGACGCTTTTCGCCAACTGTTGAGGCGGAACCTTCACGTGAAAGCCGGACTGCTTCTCCAAACCTGCTGAAGTCTTCCAACAATGGCTCTTCATTGAAGGGAGCAACTCCCCGTCCCGGGACATGGGAAGACTATGACTAAGGCTCTTCATTCAAGGGGCATTTACTTGTTTGGTCCAGGGGTTTTCCCTGCATCCCAAACTAAGGAATGTTCCTTAATTTCAAAGTAGGAATCATCGTTGTAATTCAAAGATATAACCTCCGAATTAGCAATCGATGAACTCTCTTAATGTTTCTTGTTTATTTTACTAGGAACCTTTATTGTGAACCAAAAAATGTAAACTTTGGCCCATCAATATGGTCCTTAATAGTCATTTCTTTGCACCTCTTTGAATGCAAGTACATAATTCATTTTCTATATAAAATCTCATCTCCCGGGATTTGGGCATGCCAGGGGAACTTATCTCATCTGCCCCTTGCCTCCCCTTCCTCCGGGTAAAGGCATAATCTTATCTACCTTGGATCAGTTGAGCTCCAACCCTCGAAGTTTGTTTGCTCGGTTGATCTATGCTAGTGGAGTACTAAGCTTCAGCCCTCGAAGTCTGCTTGCTATTCTTCCTGAATTCCGGGTTGTAAAGGCCCTCAAAGTCCAATTCCAACCCTTCCTTGATTTTTAACGGAGGCATAAACTTATCTACCTCCGGGGGGGGCATAAACTTATCTACCTCCCCTATTTTTAGCAGGTGGCATAAACTTTTCTACCTCCCTGTAATGCGGGTCTATATCGCTCGTGGGTGCTTCCCCCCTCCTTTTTTTTTTAAAAAAGAAATTTATAGAACAATGAAATTGCAAAGGCACTTGGCTTTAAAAGAAAAGAGAAATTTTACTGAAACAAACATCTTAAATTAAAAATAGAGCGTTTTTACAAAATGGTTTCACTGATAAAATTTGACCAAGTGCTCTACATTCCATGTCATATCAATTTCTTTTCCCTTGGGAGTCACCAACTTGTAGGTACCTGGGCGAAGAACGGCCTTGATGATATAAGGTCCTTCATACTTCTTAGCCAGCTTCCCACCCTTAGTTGGTTGACTTTTCTCTCGCATCCTCAGAACGTAATCCCCCACCTGGAACGCCTTTGGTTTCACCTTGCTATCAAAGTAAGATTTCACCTGGCGACGATAATTCTCTGCCCGGATCCGTGCTTCATCCCTTCGTTCTTCTACGAAATTCAGCTCTACGGCCTGATTCTGTTCGTTCACCTCCGGGTCAATTCTATTCGTTCACCTCCGGGTCATATTCCATTTCCCTCATGGTGGGGATTACTACCTCAGCGGGAGCCCGGGCTTCAAAACCATAAGCTAAGCCGAAAGGAGTGTCACCCGTGGCTCTCCTTGGAGTCGTCCTGTATGTCCACAGGATTCTGGGTAGTTCATCTACCTATTTGCTTCCTTCTGAAAGTAGCTTCTTTATCCCGTCTATGATTGTCCTGTTAACGTTCTCCACTTGTCCATTAGCCTGAGGGTAGGCAACAGATACTTTTGTATGCTGAATCCCCCAAGTTTTGAGAAAGTCTTGAAACTCTGCTTCCTCAAACTGGGTCCCATTGTCTGATATGATCTGCTTTGGGACCCCAAACCTGCAGCGTATATTGGTTCCGACGAAGTCGATCATCTGCCTTCCGGTGATCCCCGCAAGTGCCCCATCCTGAGAAGGGAATCACAGAGCTGATGGGCGTGTAATTCGTGGCTGGCCTCCCGGGTATATTCTGGAATTGTTGGCAGGTCGGACACTTGCGTAAATACTCTTCGCAATCCTTCCTCATCGTTGGCCAGAAGTATCCCTGGATAATAGCCCTTCTGGAAATGGAGTAAGGACCCTGATGTGCAGCACATACTCCTTCATGTATTTCTTCCATCAGTGCCTTTGCTTCTGCTGCCCTAAGGCAACGGAGTAGAACACCGTTGTAAGACCGCTTATAGAGGACTCCATCCTGTACCTTGTAGGTAGGTGCCCTCATTCGCAATAGACGTGCTTCTTGGGGATCCTCCAGGGCTTCACCGTCCTCAATGCATTTGGCTAACCGGTCCAGCCATTCCAGGGGATCAGCTGATACCCAGATCACCTCACTGCTGTTAAGACTCGGGGTTACTAGCTCTTCAACGGTTGCTAATTTGCTTATGTATTCCGGCGATTCTGCGCTGAGCTTGGATAGAACATCGGCCTCCGCATTCTGGGCCCGGGGTATATGTTCAAGCTTAAACTCAAACCTCCTCAACATCTCTAAGGACAAGTCCCGATACCTTTTCATCCTCTCTTCCTTTGCTTCAAACTCCCCCGTGATTTGTCCCACCACTAATCGGAAGTCACTGTAAACCTGAACCCTGGACACTCCCATCTTACTAAGAATCTTCAATCCGTTGATCAAGGCCTCGTATTCAGCTTCATTGTTGGATACGCGGAACTGAAATCTGATAGCGTAATAAATCCGGAATTTTTCTGGGGTGATCAAGACGATACCTGCTCCGCAAGATCGAGACCCAGAAGATCCATCGATGTTCATTACCCACCAGTCCTTTTCCACCCGGGTTTCAACCTGCGCTCTTGTCATTTCTCTGGCGGTGCACTCAACTTGAAAGTCGGCGAGTGCTTGCCCCTTGATCGATGGGCGCGGCCTGAATTCCACGTTATACTGACTGATGAAGACTACCCACTTGGTCATCCGGGCAGATGCCGGCGGGCTTCGGGTAAGTGACGCCAAATGCTCATTAGTGAGCACAAGAATCCGATGAGCCTGAAAGTACGGAGTTAATCTCTTCGCTGTCTAGAAGACCGCCAACATGGCTTTCTCCAGACGGGAATACCTTAACTTCGCATCTCTCAGGGTCTTGCTGATGTAGTAGACCGGATGTTGGACCCCATGCTCTTCCCTCACGATCACAGTACTTATGGCACAATCTGCAATTGCCAAGTATAGAGTCAAGACATCTCCAGGTTCCGGCTTAGATAAAACCGGTGGGCTTGCGAGATATCTCTTCAGTTCGTCGAATGCTTCTTGGCATTCCTGTGTCCATTCGAAGGTCGCCCTCTTTTTGATCACCGCAAAGAATGGGTGCGCCTTCTCTGCCAGCTTCGAAAGGAAACGATTCAAGGCCGCCAATCTCCCTGTTAGCCGTTGAACTTCTTTTGCTGTCTTCGGGGGTTCCATCTCCATAATGGCTCTTACTTTCTCTGGGTTTGCCTCAATTCCTTTCCGGCTAACCATGTGCCCAAGGAATTTCCCACCTTGAACAGCAAAAGTACATTTCTTCGGGTTCTACCTCAGATTTACCTTCATCATGATTTCAAAGACCTCTTCAAGGTCCCGGACATGGTCTCGGGCCTCTCTGGACTTGACAATCATATCATCAACATATGCTTCCATGGTTCGCCCTAAGACAGCCTTGAACACCTGAGAAACCATCCGGGTATATGTTGCCCCAGAATTTCTCAGCCCAAAGGCCATCACCAAGTAACAGTACAACCCTTCTGAGGTCATAAAGCTTGTCTTTTCAGCATCTGCCGGATGCATCCGAATCTGATGGTAGCCACTGAAAGCGTCCATGAAGCTCATTAACTCTAACCCGGCAGTCTCATCCACCATCTGATCAATGTTGGGGAGAGGAAACGGGTCCATGGGGCATGCCTTGTTCAAATCTGTGTAGTCGACGCACATCCTCCACGAAGGGGGCTTGGGCGCCAGGACTACATTTGCCAACCAATCTGGGTATTGCACTTTCCGGATATGCCCAATGCTCTGCAGGGTTGCTACCTCCTTGTTTACGAAATCTCTTCTTTCCTGCGACAAATGCCTTCGTTTCTGCTTCACTGGTTTGGCATCCGGCAGGACATTTAGGCGATGAACTGCAATCTTGTGATCCAGCCCTGGCATATCAGCTGGACTCCATGCAAAAACCCTCCTGAACCTTCTAAGGACTGAAATCACTCGTGATCTGAGTTCAGCCCCCAGGCCCTTACCAATCCTGACCAACCTTCCCGGCGTGCCTGGCTCCAGTTCCACTTCTTCAATGTCGCTGGCAACTTCTACTCTGGGACGTTTTTCCTCAGCCCTCAGGAGCTGCGCAGTCACCTCTCCCACTTGGGTATCGTACTTGACCGGCTGTTTGGTTGCCTTCAAATACCATGCCCGGGATACTCTCTGAGATCCCCTGGCAATTCCAACTCCGTGGGGGGTTGGGAATTTTATGGAGAGGTGACGAGGTGAGATGACACACTCCAAATCTTCCAATCCGGGTCTGCCCAGGATAATATTTGTGTTGAAGATTATCCCTACCACGACAAACTCCATGTCCAGCTTTCGGGTAGCCTTAGTATCCCCTATCTCAACCGGGAGGGTTATCACCCCTTCCGATTCAATAGAGTCACCAGTGAACCCGGTCAGTGGAGTCTTGATGGGTGACAATTCATCCCTTGTCAAACCAAGAGCCTTGTACGTATCCATATACATGATATTAACGGAACTTCCCGTATCCACAAGGGTTTTATGGATCAGTAAGTCCATTATATCTATAGTAATCACTAGGGCATCCCTATGGGGGACCCCTGTCTCTGGAAGATCAGCATTAGAAAATACAATTGGCTCGGTTTTCAGCTTCTTACCTTCTGGGACCAGCACCTTGTTGACCATCGCCGCGTTAGCCCACTTCTTCCGGCTTGTGGCTGAGTCCCCGCCAGTATTCCCTCCAATGATGAAGTTACACCCGTGGTGTCTCTTCTGGCGATGCAGTGCGGGTTCCGAATCCTCCTCTTCGTCTTCAAGCCCAATGTGGCGTTTCTCCCGGGCCTCAGCCTGGGCCACTTCTTTATATCTGCGCTTTCCATTCTGAGCATTCCCGGGATTTCCCGTGTCACCATCTTGTACGAACTTCTTGAGATGACCCCGACGGATTAGCCTTGCCATCTCATTCTTCAGAGTATAGCAATCTTCCGTGTTGTGGTCATTCTTGCGATGGTAAGCACACCATTTTCCAGTGTCTTCCACATTACAAACCTTTTGAGAATAGGTTAGGTAAGTCATGAGTCCCTGCTGTGCAGCATGGGCCATGACCTCAGCCACTGGCAATGTGAAGACTGGATTGGCAGATTTATGCTTCTCCGAGGTCCCAGGACTTGCGCCCTTTGGGCCATCCAGGAAGCCCTGCTTCTTATTCTTGAACGGCTTCTTATTTCCCGTCTTCTCTTCTTCTTTAGGAGTCTTCTCTTTCTTCTCCTCCTTTCTTTCTTCCAGGGTCACATACCTCCCCGCCCGGACCATCGCTTCTTCGAAGGTATCTGGGGGATGAGTAGTAAGATCGGTGTGAAGGAGTCCATCCTGGAACGCCGCTGTGAACATGGCCAATCTGGATTTATCATCGGTTCCCTCAACCTCCCTGGACTCTTTCCTCCATCGGATAAGGAAATTCTTCAAGGATTCTCCATGCTTCTGTCGCACTGAAGCCAAGTGAGTGAAATGCTTCTTGGGACGGCAGTTCCCGGCAAAATGCTCTAGGAACCGTAGCCCCAATTCATCCCATGTCCGGATTGATCCGGCAAGGACATGGTTGACCCAATCCGCGACCTTGCTATCAACGGTCTGCAAGAAGCACCGGCACATGAGTGCGTCACTGGCGTCTACGGTGATCATTACTTGGACATAACTGTTTATGTGTTCCTGGGGGTCTGACTCCCCATCATAACGCTTAACAAACGGCATTTTGAATCCCTGCGGATATGGTTCCGCAAAGATCTCCGAGGCTAAGGGAGTATTCATACGGGTGGTGAATACTCGACCCTTGTTTATCTTCTTCTGCATCTCCTGGATCTGCTGCCTCAGATCTTGGAATTCACCAGCTTCCGGCACCGGCGGCCCCAGGCGCCATGGTGCTGGGACCCTGGCTTGGCTTTGAACCTCGTCCTCCTCCAGATTCCTCAATGACCGGACCAGCACCTGGCTCGCGCTACGACCGTCTCGCTGCGGGGGTTCGCGATTGGAAGATGCCACCTGACTGGTCTAGGGTCGTATCCAACCCTGGGGTGCCTTTTCCGGATTCTTCCCCAGCCTCTCACTAACGTGAGCTTTCTGGCGAGATATCCTTTCAAAGACAGATGCCCGCGGGTTCTCGTTTCCATCGCCAAAGATCCGGCTCGAATCCTTAGCCCGAGCATCATTCACCTTGTTATTCTTGGCCAATTCCTCCCCCCCGGCGTCTGTCAATGGCTTGCCTCTCCCTTTCTACCTCCTTCGGATCATGGAGCTCTTGGAGGATAGGAGAACTTGCAGTACGGAGGACCTGGCGGGGTTGCCCGTCAGGGATGTCCCGGGTTCCGGATGGACCTGGAAGAGCCTTATCCAATCGCTCCATAATGTTGGCCATCATGTTAGCCACATTATTTAGTGCCGTTTCCAACCCATTGACAGGAACGATCATACCCTGTTCAGGGTTGTCACTCCTCACCGTCGACTATGCAGAAGCAGCAGGGTTACGTCTCGTCCTTCGTCCGACCATAATCTCACAGCCTTATCTCACAGTAACTCTCAATGGAAGCACCAATGATGGGATTAACCCGATCAGATGGCGGACCAAGAACGTAATATAAATCAGAAAGTTATAATCTCTTAATAATAATCTTCACTTGTGTCGTGAACTACTTTATGCTTTACAATGGCGGGGTCTTCCCCCTTTTTATAGTATCTCTAATATTATAATTGGAATTACACAAAAATGGAAAGGAGTATGGAGACATTGGGGTTGTGATCCCCCCTTTTCCGGTCTCATTCTCTTCCCACTCCGCATATGACCCAATGACTTGGTCACAAGCATGATTTTCATGCTCTAAACCAACACCATCTACCCACCGGAAAAGCTCCCTCTGGCAAGGGTAAGACGGGCATATCTTCTGAGTATCAGAATGGATGGGTGGAAATCAAGAGCAAAAAGACAATTGGAAATCAGTGATAAATTCAACTGGAACAAATTGCAGCTACCTAAAATTCAGCTCTTTCTTTGGAAAGTCAACAACAACATCCTCCCTTTTCCTGAAAATACTTGCAAATTCCACTATAGCTATCCCTCCCAATGCCCTACATGCCTACAGAATGATGGTGATATGAATCACTGCCTTCTTCAATGTCCCCAAATACAGAAGATATGGGAAGATATGAGACTAATTTTTGATGGCCCTAAAATCAAAACAGGTATCACCCTAAAGCAACACATTTTGGAGTGGAATCTCAAATCACATCATGGCACGCTTAAAGGCAACATGAGAATAATTCTTCCTGGAATTATAGCCTGGTCAATTTGGAAACACTACGCTGCTATTATGTTCGGAAATGAGGATATAAACTTACCTATTATCAAGAGGAACATCAAGCTGGACCTATCTAACTGGTGTTGGAAATTCAGAAAAAAGGGCTGGATGATTCAAGATAAGAACCTCACTGATCAAGGATTCCAATCTTTCGCCTTGGAAGGTA